AAAAAAAAAAAAACAAAAAATATGTTACATTTCAAAATCAAACAAAAATTATGCTTCAAAACAGTGATCATATTTCGTAAAGCGTCGAATGTTGCGTACTTTAATCCCTATCAAGTCTCGTCCTTCGAAGGTTGTGGTGAAGTTTATTACCTCAACAAGCTCTGGATACTGCCAGGAAAGGTTTTGCAAATGCTCAACAATCTGAAACAGTTTGGAGTAAATTTATTATCCGTATTTCGGGTATGGAAAGGCCATAAAAATGCGTTAATGCAATTTATACACCAGACAAAAAAAAGTGATATTTTGTAAAGTAATGGAAATTAGGTTACTTTTTCGTAACACTCAAAAGTTCATCTGCGCCGCTAAAAAAATGCAATAAAGCAATTGTTTATTTAAACTAACTTCAATTGTTATCTACTTTTCCTATCGACAATTCGCTATATACTGGTTATTCAGCTCTAAGAACAAAAAATTTGGTTTAGAAAAGTATCTAATAAAATTAATTAATATTTGTAGCGTCTGAGTGCAATATATAAAACGTTGCTTGCCTGCTGGTAACGATGATAAGTGGTAATGTTGAAGGCTTCTAACAAATCCATGCTCTGAAGATGCCTTTTAGAACGTAAAAGACTTGCCTCCTCTAATTGATGACGTTCTTCGTCGATGTTTCTGCAAAAATTTTAAGGTTATAAAAAAAAAGCAGAAATTGAATAGAAAATCTCGTTGATCGACCATTTAAGTTACCAGCAGGCAAAGTTCAAAATTTGTAAACTGTGAAAAGGTCTGGACTTTTAGGTTAAAATTTCTCAATCGTTGGAAACGAAGAGGAAATGTTGTGAAAAAAATTTTCGGTTCTAATCTTTTTCAAAATTTTTCTGCGAAAAAGACGCCGCAACAGAGACATTGTCTATTTAGACATTTTAATAGCCTAAATTAGATGCTTATAAAAGCAGCTTAAAATTTCTTATCTCTCTTTTTGTTTTCAAAAAAATAAAAACTGTTTGCCTTTATCATGAATAGATTAGCAAATTTATGACTAGAGAAAAATCTTCATTAGCCAGTATTACAGTAAAGCAGTTGGGAGGGAGGAGAGTGATAGCAAGTGAACTAAACCGTTAATATCTATACAGACAATCGACTTTTACTATAGCCATTAAGTGCAGTTTTAATTGTAAGTAAGCTTACAAAAAGTTACTTACCTTTGCAGGTTGTGCCGTAAAAACCTAACATTTTGAATATCACGACTTTCCAGTAAAGTTAAAAAGGTTTCCATAAATTCCGGTGCTACCATAACATCGGCATATTTTCTGAATTTATTTGGCTCATTCCATATATCAATTTGTGTTCTCGTCGGTTTATTACCCTAAACCGTACGAATATATGGTAAAAGAAGATTTTTTTCTTCTACATTTATATAGCAAAAAAGGAATACCAAAAAAAAGAGGAATATTCTTTGAAAACTTTTTTGTGTCAATAGATGCCAATAATTAGCTGTATTTTGTTTACTAAATTTTTCTCCTTTTCTTAATTAAAAGAAAAGAAACTCGAGCAGAAAAAGCAAAAAGCAAAAACAAAAAAGTGTTTGTCTAAAGTTTAACAAATCCACAGCAGTTGAATTTTGCTTCTGAGAAAAATTTATCAGAAGATTGTTCAAATATGAGCACAGTGTTACATACATGACTGTGCAATGCTGTTCGCTCCTGAAGATCTTCAATCCATTTGATATCAGTTGTATAAATTCTTAATACTTTATATCTGAAAAAAAAAAAAACTGCATTTTTTTTTCTTCTGCTTCCCTATAATACCTTCATATATAATTGATAACACAATTTAATATTCTTGTTTTTAAATTATTTTACTTTTGACAGAAGATAAGTATCAGTTAGCCTATTATAAAAATAGTGTAACTTTGACAAGAAAAGTAAAAAAAAATCTTTCTTTTTTTCTAACCTACCCTTCATAAGACTGTATTTGTGTTTGCACTAGGTGATTGGCAATAATAAATAGCAGTACAGTCACCAACAGAAATATCGCATGCATCTGAGTCTGCAAAATAAAACGTATGTTGCACAGTTGGTAGACAGTTTTAAAAGAATTAGTCCTTTTTTCTGTTTAGCCGGGTTACAAACACCGATTTGAACGCAGTACAGCACCAGCATATCGGAGTTCAGTTTTGTTGAACAGTCAGTCAGTCAGTCAGTCACTCAGAAATGCAACAACAGTAAAGCGTTGTTGGAAGGCTAACGAAATCGGAGGAATAAACAACAACTGAAATGTTTAGCGATATCTCAGAAAAAAAACTTCCAAAAAAATTTTTTTGAGCTTTTCCTTTTTTTTTCTTTCTTTTTTTTTCTGCTTTTCTTTATCTCTTTTTTTTCCTTTTCTTTGCTTATTTGTTCTCTACCAACAATATCAGCAAACTGTACTGGTTTTGTAAAGTCTAAAGACCGCAGACGATACGGGTGATACTTCATTGAGTTTGGCATAAAAAATTTTTTTTCTTCTTTCAAAGTGGCATTTAAAGATCAGTAGGATTTCTTTAAAAAGTCTAGGCAGTTAAGATCGGTTTTTGAAAAAAACGTTCGTAAAGAAACCTTCACCAATTATTTTTGGAGAAAAATGAATCAACTGGTTAATTGTTGCCAACTGTCTCCGTTTTATATAAACTAAAAAAACAAAAATGATGTCAAAAACTTTGTTTCTTTAATTATTGCTCCATTTATTGTTCCTAAGAATAAAATTGCATCAGCCGTACCCTTTCTAAACTCATCACCATACAGCATTATTTTTTGCTTTGTACAGCAGAATTCAGAAAGGCGACGAAGCAGTGAAAGAAGGGGAAAACAGAAAAGAAAACAAAAGGATGGACAAATTTTTGAATGGATTAAATAAAAATCAGCTCAATTTTCTTATTGATGAATTTATCGTTATCAGTACAGTGCCTGAATCAGTCAAATGTAAATGACGTTGATATAGGAAGACAAAACGAAAAAGATTCCTAATACTCTGGTGTTCAGATGACGAGTGGCATTTACAGTTTTTTTTTTTGGTATTAGAAAGCCACAGTAGCCGAACACTTCCTCGGTGTTTGGCACACGATGGTCTAACAGACGGCTTATTTGGAAGAGTCGGAACTGCTCCAAAACAAAGCAACATAATGAGCTCTTTTTTCTTTTGTTGCCAATTACCATTGAAAAAAGATATGGAAAAAAATGTTTTTGAAAAAGAATGCCAAGAAAAATTGAAATAAAAACCAAAACTAAAAGGCTGATAAACCAGATAAAAATGAAAT